ACCCCACAGATGGTAATTAAGAATGAGGTTTTCTCAATAGCTGTTTATTTTCATAAGATTGAAGAGTCTGAACAACATTTTCCACTGCAAGTGGATTGCTGAATTAGCTGCCACTGTGCTTGTTTCACAATAAGGCATGCAATTGTCAACACGCAATTTCCTTGTTCATAAATAGTTGGAATACTATTGAGGTGACAAGAAATATTGGACAAAATCCACTTATTTTGGAATGCTTGGTTTAGTAAGGAAGAGATGAGAGTCGATAATTTAAAATATATGTTTGTATCTGATGGTGTTGGAGAAGTAGCTGACTTGTCATGACAATTAGCATACTTAAAGGCGTGACGACTTCACTGCTGTAAAAATGATAGGCTTTTTATCAAGACATCTTGTATTTTTGACCATGTAACAGGGAGATTGGCACAGCCTCAGCAATCATAGGGCTCACTTTAAAAAAGTCGAGAAATATATCAGATACCTCATTGAGGATTGTCAATGCAGTCTCAGGTTTCAACTCCTTGATACGGAGGCCCTCTTTCACCCAAGACTGAAAGCCACCTTGGACCAAATATGGCCTCTGTAACATTAAAAGCAACACAATTAATAACAAAATGGGCATGCTTTAGAAGAACATGTAAGATCGCAATCTTTTAAACACACAATGTACTACAACCACTTGAGAACCAACTGTGCACTTCCTTGCATCTATAAGCAAAGTCCTAGTGTGTAAAAAGTAACTATATGTCTCAGCAACGCATGAAAAATTATTATCCTGTTTATATGCCATTGTTATCACAAATTGAATAATCATTCTTATTAGCAATAACCAAGCAAGGGTTAGCAGGTTAGTTACAATAACTGAAACAAAACAGGCAAAAGAAGAGCAAACGCATTCTTTTAAAGAAAAAAAGAATTACTATTGTGCTAGGTTACAACAAAGACCTACAAAGATCTGAGGCTTCCCAAGCTCAAAGTAGGCCCCATCCCTGCAATCTTTCTAACTGATAAGGGTACTAAAAGGTAGCAGAGGTAAGATGTACAGACCATAGAGTTGCCTCTTTCTTTACTTTAATATTATCCATGACTTACTTATGCTATCTGTAATCTTTAATGACAAGTACAGGGGAGATAGACATTGAGCAAATATACTTGCCTTTATTCCAAGTTTCCGGAGTGACCTTGCAATGCCCTTGGAACGATTACCATTAGCATCCATAACTATAACCTGAGACCTGTCCTATAGGTTGGGCAATGGAGGGTAATCAAAATACGACAAAAGTTATCAGAAGTCAACGGGATAAGGTTAACATAAGAATCTTTTACCACTAAATAGGTTCTTTACGTATGAAAACAAGAGCAAAAATTAATAAATGCACGTTAGATCAAGAAAAATAAAGCCAATTGG